ATCTACTGTGCACCACATAATTGTGAAGAATGCTACTAGAAACAGTGCCATCATGCATCCTTCCTCTTTATCTGCCAACATAACCACGTGCATCAGTAATCCAGCTGTAGAAATGATAGAGAAATGCTTTTATTGTACATAGAACATGAGATAAGGAAGAAAACTCGTTTAAGAATGGGACAGAAGAAATATCTCAGTAATGAAGTGCCTGTTTTCTACAAAGTACAGTTTCAAGTTTCCAGAAAAATAATAAATAGAAATCAGGTTTCTAAGCATTGACATTAGAGACAATTTTCAAAATGGGTGCTTAAAGGAAATAGTAGGTGTCAGCACCTCACTGAGACCCAACAAAATCCCAAGAACCCAAGAAATGAAACCCAAGAAATGTTTCTAGGCAAAAACTTTCTCCAGTGTCACCTGATGATAATCATGAAGATTGTTTGCTTTGAGATATGTTACGGAAATGTACTGTTCTTTCAGATTAAATTACAAATCTTACAGGTCTTGCAAGTGTATATATAATTCCAACGATAAGCAATGTGGCACCCATAGTATCAGAAGTAGGACCAATTGAAACTGGTTTTTCTATTCCCTGAAATTCCTTCAGGTCAAATATATGTGGTGCAGAGTCAGGTATTTTCTCCAATGAGTTTCACTATGTTCTTCCCATCTTTTACAAAATGAGATTACTAAACCTACAGTAAATCAAGAGAGGAGAAGTGAGAACTTAATTTTTTCCTCTTCAGAAAACATTTTTTTTAATTTAAAATTATGACCATGGTAGTCATAAGTGTCCACTGGGGAGGTTCAAGTGAATTCCACATCAGGATACAAGAAGCATGGAAGTTAGGGTTTGCATCATAGTGTCAAATGTCCTTCATCATGGGTTGTACAAACATCCATGGGAATAACTGCTATTCTCCCACGCAAGAAGAGGTGAAACCACCACAGGTATGGAGTGCAAGATATACTTTTGTTTTTAATGATACAGAAACCTCATCTGGTGCAACCTGTTTATGAGGATCATATAATATAAAATTTCCCCATAGAAATCAATATGTGTCCTAGTTCTTGGTCATTTCTCTAGTCCTATTTAACATCTACATGAATCTGCTGGAAGAATTCACTCATCTATTCAGGAGGAGCTATTATCAATATGCATCTGATATTCATCTTCATAATGTCACCCTGAGCTGAATGGGGGATCTAGTAAAAGTTGTTCCAGTGTGTGGAAATTGCCCAAACTTGGATTGGAAGGAACCCAAGCAAAATGGATGGTTGAAAATTCTTTTTTTTAATTGAAAAGTTTTACAAAAATTACAAAATATAATCTATCCATCTTCTCCAAACCGAAATGTATCTTTCTTGTGAATAATCCTTCAAATAAGCAGAAATCTTAGCCATTTCTGCTAAATTTGACACTTTAAGCGTCGATTCTTCTATAGTAGGCAAACAATCCTTCTTCCAATATTGCCCTACCAACAGCCTTGCTGCTGTTATTAAATTCAACATCAAATTAGTTTCCTTAACATCAAAATCTACAATAATACCCAACAAAAATAATTGAGGAGTAAACTTTATCTTTCTTTTAAAAATATTCTGAATGATCCACCAAATTTTAATCCAAAAAGCTTTTACATTTCTACAAGTCCACCAAATATGAAAATAAGTTGCATCCAAACTACCACATCTCCAACATTTGGGCTGCAAGTTAGGATACATACAAGACAACTTTTGGGGATCCAAATGCCACCTATAAAACATTTCATAAAAATTTTCTCTCAAATTTTGAGCTTGAGTAAATTTTATGTTTCTAACCTAAATTGTCTCCCATGTATCCAATAGAATAGGCTCTTGAATATTTTGTGCCCATTTTACCATACAATCTTTAACTAATTCCGTTTCAGAATCCAATTCTATTAAAACATTATAAATTCTCTTTATATGAGCTAGAGTTTGATCTTTAATCTGTTTTATCAAATTCGCACCCTCTAAAGTAATGCCAACCTTTTGATCTAAACTCCACCTAGCTAACAATTGATTATATTGAAACCAAGAGTGTACAATATTTTCTTCCTTCAACTCAGCTAAAGATTTTAATTGCCAATCCTTCCCTACCAAATCAAGTAATTTCTTATAAGAAATCCTGTCCAAATTCAATCCTCTAGTTACCCCCTCGATGGTTGAAAATTCTTATGGCTGCTGACGCCAAAATAATACCAACTTTGATTCTCAGCTAGATTATTCTTCACCAGAAAAAGAAAAGCCACAACCTTCTGGACTCACAACTCCTAATGGACAGGTAGAATCTGTGACCAGGCAGCTCTGGCCCAACCCTAGACTACTTATTAGAGCAGCAGCCCCAACATTTTGACCACCAGGGACCGGTTCCATGGAGAGAGTTTTTCCTCAGACCAGAGGGGACGTGGTTTCATGTGCTACCTGCATCCCGCAGATGGAGGTTCACTTGTTTGCACAGCCTGATTTCTGGCATGCCATGGACCGGACCAGGGGTTGGGGACCCGTGTATTAGAGGTTTATTGGGAACAGGATGCATTGTTATCTCATAACTGGATTCCTGTATTTTTGCTGTATCAGATTGCATTTGTAGACCATTGGAAACTTTGACTGGCCCAAAAAGCCTATTAAGCCAAGCAGCTTAACAAACTGCAAATATTGGCACAGGAACAGCATCGGTTATCAGTTATTGCAAAGTGTAATTCATGTACTGCTCAATATTTATACATTCATGTATAGCTAGAGGCCTAGCTATCTAATAGATAACCTGCAAGTAACTTCTTCCCATGCAGAATCGGTGACAAAGGAGTGCCTGTTGAAAATTCCCTTTTATCTCAAGGTACAACGGGAAGAGGACATGAAACTGAGCAGTTTCACTGAGGTATCCTTCCTTTGGAACAACTTGCTTACAAGCAATGGTGGCTTGCATTTGCACAGCTTTCAATCAACTAATAACAGCATTTTTTTGCAAACTGGCTTTTGGAATTGATCACGGGATTTTCGGAGCCAAGGTATTTATGCCTGTTTTGTATTATAATTATAACTAATTATAAATTAGTTATTTATATTCTCGCATTGCACACTGCTTAGACTCCTTTGAAACTAAGATAGTCTAAACATTTTATAAATTAAAAAATGTAAAATTGTTCCTTGGTTTTTCATGGTCATGTTAGCAGATAGCATATACCGTAATCCTATATCTGAATGAAATAAATATTGTCCTTTGTACCATGTGAAATAGGTTTTTTAGCTAAGAACTAGAAAACCTGTGACCCATTGAGTCATCTTTACAAAGATATTTCCTTACCAGATTCCTTAATGACTTCAGCAGTGACAGAGCTTCTTATGTATTGCCTTCACTGGAAAAGGGATACATTCAGAGATGTATTTGCTTTGAAAATAGCTTATGTTGAACTATACAGCACAATCAAGCATCAGCACAGGAAATGTTTTCTGACATTTTGTGTTATGTCACAAAGGATTTTACGTTAACGTTTATGTCGTAGTTCTGTAAAATTTGCCAAATTTCACTTCTATGGGAGTCCTGCATTTCGGATTTTGGATGCTTTCTGTAAATTAGCCCATTTGAGGTACCTTGGTTCAAAAGGTTTTGCCCTGTGATGCATCATTTCACCCAGTTAAAGGACTAGGAAAGCGCCATGCTTACTAAACATTTCAGTCATGAGTGCCATTTCACTGGGCTGTAATCTAGCAGCTGAGAAAGGAGAGGAAGAGCTTTTCATGTCTTACTTTTTGCACAGCCCCCTGTTCTCCCATCATTTTCCTGGATGCTTCCCTTCCTAAAATTCCCTACCTTCCAGAACACTTGCAAGTGAAGTAGGAATAAATGAATATGCTTTCCTCTAAGGGAAAAGTCCAGAGGATGTTCTCTTCCCAGTTTTTGAACTCTGGACTTAAATTAGTGCAGTGATTCTTAAAGTAACTTGATTTACCTCTAAATAGTGTTAAATTCTTCCAACTAAATAAATCCATCTATGCTTGGAGATGAAGAAAAACCACCTTCCAAGGAGATTTTGAATAATTCTATTCAGGCTCCTCCTCCCTCATTTCATTTGTTGCTTAGTGTCTAAAAATTGATTGTCATTGAAAAATCCTTCATTCTTTACCACATCATTCCTGATAGTTCTAAAAGTGCGCTTTTCAGTTGCAAAATGACTTGTCCTCAACCATCAGATGAGCTTGTATTTTTTGTGAATGGAAGGAAGGTAAGGATTGCTTTTCTCTAACAGAACATATATTCTTCTTTTTAAAAAATCAGGAAGGTAAAGAATGCCCTATGATGCTATATTATTCCTGACACTGTACAGTGATTCATTCTGATTTGCAATATATTATATCTTTACAGTACAAGGGAGAGATCTGTGTATATGCACTAGTAATTGCTTACCCAGAAATAAAACTACATAATTGTGACATACTTATTAACTTATTAAATAGAACAGGTATACAGTGATCTTAAATCCATTAAATGAACTGAACTGTTACAGAAATGATTTTGTTATATTGTGTAATTATTATTATTATTATAAAGAGTTTGCCAAGACTAAGCTAATTAAGACATTGCTAAACAATAATCTGAAAAGTGATTAAGAATTAAGTCAGATAACATTTTTTTCTATTTAAAACTGGTAATTAGGTAGTCTTATGATTATAGCATCAATTTACAAATATGTTAAGTAGCTTTTTGCCAGATTTACTACAAACTGATATTCTCAAGGGGCACTTTAGTTTGCATGACACATGAAAGAAAACAAGAAGGCATCCAGAAATATATTTTACAAATTTTCAACTAGAAAATTTTGAAGGGAGAGGTTTAAAATGTGGAACTTTAAATGTCCCCTTCCCTTAGGTCTGAAGTGAATTACATTTTTGCTTTTTTATATTTTAGAATTCTAGTACAGTGTAATAAAAGCACAAAACAGGGTATTAAAATATAAAGAAATACCCAGGAAACAACCTACCTCATTCATATTCCTGTTAACATTTTGCAGTCTTCTCTTACTCTTTCCCTTGCTCTCTTTTCTGCAAACATGCCATAACTAGAACATGTTCCAGTCAGGGGATATTGTCTTTCCATGTTTACATTTAGCAATCATTCTTAATAGTGCCAACTTCAGTAACTAGGCTGTTAGACTTCTGAGTATTGAACAGATAATTTGTTCAGATCATAAATCAAACTGGAATCATAAGTGACATCATCTAGTACTCAGCAATCCAAAATGCAACTACAGAGTCAAATTTCATTTCAAAAATCATCTATAATCTTGTTAAGAAATGTTTGCCACAACTTGGAAGACTGTTTCTAAATCCAACGAAGAGAGAGAAAAGATCATTAGAATTGGGTCGCTGATAATATTTTTTTTAAATTGTATCACTGTTCTGACACTACTCACAGGTTCTTTCTTCACCTTACACAGTTTTAATTTGGAGATACGGTGAGACAATATATATTTGGAAGAAACATCTGATTTAATTTAGAGAAGTAAATGGACACCTGAAGGAACTTAAGGTGTTGCCTCAAGTTCATTCCTAGTCAGGTAAACATGGTGCCTTGGGGCTTTACCAGAGTTTATCAATTAATAAAAATCACAGCTCAGCCAGTCTTAACTTGCCATTTGAGTAATAAAATAAGTAACAGAAGGAGGTGTGAATAACGCCACTGCTCCCTGAATATTTTAATTAGAAACAAAAGAACCATTGCCTTCAGAGGTCCCTTTGAACTACAATTGTTTATAATGTATTCCAAATAGTCTCTATATTCCAAAAAGCCTCTGTAAGGAGATGCAAAAAATAAAATAGTTTTCATATCATAAACAACTATAAACCTATCTATACTGTGATGTTTTCTTTTTTTATATATCCAAGTTTTTTATTAATTTTCCGATATTGCATTTACATATTTGAAAAGTAGCGTGGCGGTTGAGCATCGTATTTCCATTACATTTAAATATCATCAATACAAATCTCAAAGTATTACAACAACAAATTCCCTCTCTTTCCCCCATAAGAGCTACTATCATATTCAGATCAATACAGTTCTTATTCTATCAATCAAACAAAAAATACCTTTCTAATATTCATCAATAATCTTCAGTCTATACATATTTTAATTAATTTGACATTCCATCTTTTAGACAATAACCTAATAAGTTTTTCTTAACTTTAATTTTGCATTAATATTTAAATTTAACGTTTAATCTTTATTATTTCCAGATTTTAAATGATCCCAATTTCTCAGTCTCCTATCTCATATTTAGGGCTACTAATTTTTCTTTTCTTTTCCTTTTTCTACTTCTTTCCTTTCTTCCTTTCCAGAAAAAGAGAAAAATAAATAAATAAACCATCAGCATTTATACCACAAGCTAATATACAAATTTAATTATTAGTATTTATACTTCTAAGTTTTATTTAACCTGTGTCTCAACTCATGACAATATCTTAAATTCAAGTCTTGGTTATCTATAAACATTCAAACTTTTAGCAAATCAGTAACCTGGTAATTGATTTTCCCTTAATATTTTAATTTAACATTTAATATTTATCTTTTTTCCAAATTTTAATTAAACACAATTCCTTTATCACAATTTCTCATATGATCTAATATTTAAAATACAGACCTTATATGTAAAATCTATCATATATCTTAGCAAACTAATAAGACAATATAATATTCTTATTTCAATATTTATATTTCTATATTTTATAAAACCATTTTTTATCTCAAATCATTACAATATCTTATATTCAAAATACATATTCTATCTATTTAAATATATTCTATTTTAGATCTCATATATAAATCAAAACCCCAATCCCTTTCAGTCTAATTCTAGCTTTTTTCCTCTGCCAAATCATCTTTTGTATCTTCGCTTTTAAATCATCAAAAAGATCTCCTTGTATTGTTGTAACTATTGTTTGATATTGATAAAGGCGTTCAGTTGCTGTTTTCTTAAGAGGGCTAGCTGGTTTAACAGATTGTCTCTTTATTTTTCCAGTTCGATGCAGTTGTCCTAAAGTATTTATCTTGTCTTTCATCTGTTTTTCTTTTTTGTCTTCAAATTCCTTCTGGTTTATTAGAAAAGTCCTTTCCTTGTTCTCTATTATCAGTTTCCTTCCTGTGTTTTCCACAGTTTGTATTTGTTGAGTATCTAAGTCTTCTGTCATAACATTTGATTGTTTCCCCTTCTCTATAGAATTCTGTATAGATGATTCTTTAGTTGAAGTCATAGTTTGAGCTTGCATAAAGAGAGTTTGGATAATTGCTTTTAACATATAAAGAATTTGTTTCTCTACTTCCTCTGTGGGAGAAATCCATTCCTGTTCTTCTTCTATTGTCATATATTAAACTAAACAAAAAACTTACAATCAGAAAGTCCACCAAGTAAAAAGCTGAGCTGAGTTTCTTGCAGATGGTGCTTCAAGGTTACTTTGTATCTTATCTGTTTTTAAGGCAATCAACAAGTCTTTCTTAAAGAATAGCAGGTTACAGTCTCAAATTTAGCCAGCAAATGTCACTATGATGTTTTCTTATGAGAGAGTAGAAATCTTTTAGTAGAACTTTATGATGGTTTGTTCCCATCAACATATCAATACCTAAAGGATTTTTTCGTGCATCGCACAGAGAGTAAAATGTAAATGGAGCTATATTGCCAAGGGAGGGAGGGTGGACGGAAAGATGGTCTATTTCTTGTCTTTTGATTTGCTATGGTCTTTCTTATGGCTTTATTCTAATGGTTTTATTGTATCTGAATGTCCACAGCCCAAAGAATTTTGCATTGTCCTTCTCTACTAACAGATGTCTCAAATCTCAGTTGAATTAACTCAAACATGCTAAGACCGTGGTGGCAAACCTATGGCACAGGTGCCACAGATGGCATGCAGAGCCCTTTCTGTGGGCTTGCGCGCTGTCACCCCAGTCCTATGCCATCAGTGGGGTTTTATAAAAACTTTTTGCTTTAGGCCTCTGTCGCCATCTCGCAAAGTTGGAATTGAATGATTGAACTTTTTAGTCCCACTCAGTCTGCTGTTACCACTGCAGCCACACCCACTCAATAGGCCACACCCACCCAATGGGCCACACCCACCCAGCACCCAACAATACATAAGTGTGTTTTGGGTTGCAGTTTGGGCACTCGCTCTCTAAAAGGTTCGCCATCACTGTGCTAAGAGATTTGTAAGCTTGTAATGCTAAGCCTAAGTAAGAAGGAGGGGGAAGTATTCGGTATTAAATTCCACTCTTAAAAGCAACATTAAACCTATTGGGGAAAAGTGCATTATATCTTTATAACTGTTAAATCTTCTTTCAATGCAGGTGATAGAGAACTACCCCGATCCTGAAGAATACTTGCTTAATTACCTGAGAAAGGAGCGTATCCTTTTTCTTTACAGTGTTTCTGTTAGAGTGTACAGCTTTCCACACAAAAATAAGCCCCAAAAATAAGCACACATTCAAAATGAGTAGGAAGCATAGTTTAGAAAAACTTTATCTATAAAATATATATAAACATGATACATACAGTTTCATTCAACTCTGGGGAACACAACAACTCTTAACTTAGAGATCAGAAAAACGACACAGAGAAGACTAAGAGAGGCCTAGATGTAGGCTGGATCACATGCCTCACACAGCCAATACTGTGTCTTAATCAAAAACAGTTCTCATTGGCTGGTTTGTTGCTATGGCTATTCCAGTTCATAAAATTTCTTACACAGTGACAGTTTCATAATAAATTCTGTTGATTATGCAAAATGCATGATAATTTTCCTGTAACCAAAGTAAACCTCAGTTCCCTACGAAAACAAAGCCTTTTGGTTCCTATTTATTCATATTATGCAAAGTAGATTCTCAGAAATTAACACCTTTCCTAAAATAATAGCATTGATAGATAGATCGAAGTATTACTTTATATTTCAGTTGTGGGTGCAGGAATGGAAAATCGGAAAATGTTGCTTTCCCTATTTTTGTGGGACAGGCTCCCAAAAGTGCAACTTCAAACCAGCTACTAAAAGTTTGTACTTGGGTTTTTCTTAGTTTACAAATATTGGTATCAAATTTAATTACAAGAATAGAAAAGCCTTCAAGATATTATTTACAGTGCCACTTGATGTTTACTGTATTTTTTTAAAAAATAACCTTTTTTATTTCCTGGATATAATTTATCCTAAATATACCTTGCAATAGATATATGTGCAAAGATTATTCCTGCTCAACTGCTTTGTGGATATTCAGAAACTTACACAATATATTTAGACTGAACATGTATTTATGACAGTTGCAGCATCCCGGGATCATGTACTTGCTCTTTGCAACCTTCCCAGCCAGCTTCTGACAAGCAAAGTCAAAACCAGATTCGCTTAACAACCACACAATTCTCTTAACAATTGCAATGATTTGTTTCATAACTGTGGCAAAAAAAGGTTGTAAAATCAGGCGTGACTTACTTAACAACTGCCTTGCTTAGCAATTATAATTCTGGTCCCAGTTATGGCTGTAAGTCGAGGAATACTTTAACAGGATGTACTTTAACAGGATAACAGAGTTGGAAGGGACTTTGTAGGTCATCTCATCCAACCCCCCGCCCAAGCAGGAGACTCTACACCATGTCTGACAGATGATGGTCCAGTCTCTTTTTGAAAGCTTCCAATGATGAAGCTCCCACAACTTCTGAAGGCAATTTATTCCATAGATTGATTGTCCTCACTGTAAGGAAATTTATCCTTATTTATTTTCTTCCCACTTGTTCCCTATGGAAATTTAAAGTAATGGGGAAATGGTTCTGTCAAAATATACAGTCTTTAATGGAAATCAGTTTTTCTTTCCTTAACAATATGCTATATCAGTCCACCTGACTGGAACTAAATATGGCTGTGGAATTGGAGGCTGTGGGGCCTGTACTGTGATGATATCAACCTATAATCCTGAAACCAAAAAAATACAGTATCCTTCAGAAGGAGGGAAGTTGGATTCTGCCTAAAGATTATGCAAAGTTAAGGAAACTTTCTGATGTAGCTTGTGGAAATACAGATAGCAAAAAAATAATTCTGTCAGACAAGAATAACCAAAAACAGAGTGGTGAAGCAGTTGGAATCTTAGTGGGCCCA